TGCACTCCCAGCCTGGAAGGTGAGAGTGCATGGTGAGATCTAATCCTCTGAAAGGGGGCCCGCTCCTGATGTCTCTGCAGCCGAGACGTGGGGGAATTAATGTCACTGATGGCGGAACAGGAGTCGTTCAAGCTCACTTAAAGAGCGTTTGAGCAGCAATCCCAGGGGATGAGCTCATTTATCTGGGATTAACGCGGAGGCTCCCGGCGATATTAACACAAATATGGAGCATGACTGTGTTTCTGGGGAGGTTGGGGATGAGCTCAGGGATAAAGCGCCTTTATAAAAGAGCTGTGGTCCTCTTGCTGTCTGCCGATCGGAGTGTGTTCAGCTCCTGCAGTGCCTGTGACTCCCAATACAGCTCTGAGACTACACCTGAGGTGTTTAAATATTCATTTATTTTGTGTCTCGCCCGGCTGGAGTTTAACAATGACTGCTGCGGACTCAAACACAAAGGGAGGGACCCAGAGTGGCTCCAGGGAAGGACGTCAGGTGAGTAATCAACAGAGATGCTGTGTTCTTCTATTCATCGCTTCTGGGTCTCCTTCATGAAAGCCTGGAGAAAATCTGGAAGGTTTTCAGGGGGAGGTGTCAGATCTAACGTGTGCTTCGGTTAAGAAAACTAACTCAGTAAATTGCTTATTTTGCTTATAAAAATAAAATGAGCTGGAAGACTGTAGATTAAAAACAATGGAAGTTGTGCCACTGGGATGGGTTTGCTTGCTTAGGTGTCTCATAATAAACTTTGCATTCTGATTGGCTGGCCAATTTAATCGTAACCACTGATAGGCTACCACTATCAACATTTTTGTAGTTTGCTAATTGGTCAATCAATGCTGTTAATCTGAATGGGAAGAGTGCTGATTGGCTGCTTGGGCACTGTGTTATATTGTTATGTGCACACCGATGTTGAGAAGGTTAAAAAAAGGTGTCAGGATATCAAGTCCAAGACATCTGTTTGCGATCCTTCCAAGTTTAAAAGATTTAAAAACGTTTAAGAAAGTTTCTTTTTTT